TAATGAATCCGGCGAAACATTTTTTCTTTGAAGATATTATGTAATGTGTATTTATTTACTTGGCGAGGAAATGTATATAGTATATAAATATTAATATGAATATTTTTAAACAATAATGAGTTATAATTCAATAGTCGTTCGCCATTTAATTATTTTGTTCCTTCGAGGAAATAATTCCTCGCCAAGTAAATAAATTATTGAAACAAAACGAGTTTGCTTAAATTCAATACACTTAGAATCTATTCATGATATCACATCATCTTTATTGTGCTTAAAGATGTAATTTTTTTTTTTTTTATTCAGCCATTTTTACACGTAGTTTACGAAGGGTTTTTGTTGTGATTATATAATAATGTTATGATAATTTTCAAGTATTTCTCCACATCACAAGCTTTGCCTAACGGCATTGCTGCAATATTGTATAAGCACACGTCATATGAAATTTCAATTTTGAAAAATGTTGATGTCGCGATCGACAAATTATTATTATGAATTATATAAACAGCATTGACATGACGGTTATCTTGTTGGCAGGTTCCTGGCCATTTGGTACCCTCTAAAGTGTCAGATCACCACGCGCCGGGCCCGGTACATCATCTGCGTCATCTGGCTGGTGTCGACCACCATCACCATACCGTGGGCGCTGTTCTTCGACATGGTGGCCATATTCAAGGACGCCCCGAGCCTGGAACTGTGCCTGGAGGTGTGGCCAGACTACCTGGACGGCAACCTGTACTTCTTGCTGGGAAACCTGGGGCTGTGCTACGTGGTGCCAACGGTGGCCATATCGCTGTGCTACGTCATGATCTGGGTGAAGGTGTGGCGGCGGACCATACCCACCGACAACAAGTGCGCGCGCATGGAGCGCATCCAGCAACAGAGCAAGGTGAAGGTGGTCAAGATGTTGGCCATGGTGGTGGTGCTGTTCGTCGCGTCGTGGATGCCGCTGTACGCGATATTCGCCCGGATCAAGCTGGGCGGCCGGCTGGTGCCGTGGGAGGAGGATTTCCTGCCGGTGGCCACGCCGATCGCCCAATGGCTGGGCGCGTCCAACAGCTGCATCAACCCGGTGCTGTACGCGTTCTTCAACCGGAAGTTCCGGCGCGGCTTCACCGCGGTGCTCCAGAGCCGCCGGTGCTGCGGCACGCTCCGGTACAACGAGAACCTGCAGCACTCGGCGTCCGCTAGCGGCAACGGCGGCGGCAAGGCGTCCTCGTACTACATCACCAATCACCACGCGTACACCAAGCGGCAGTCCAGCCAGGAGACGAACGTGTCGTACATATTCAACGTCTGAACACGTCACACAGCAACGCAAACGAACTATAAAACAACGATGCAAATATATTATGACAATATTGTCATGAACTATATTGTCGTCAAACGTTGCCGTAATTGGTGGTGTTGTTGTTGTTGTCGTCGTCGTCGTCGTCGTCAAATATTATCGCGTCGACGATATATTTTGATGATCAATAATCGACGATAACAATATTATATTAAACTCAACAATAATAATCATAATACAATAATAATAATTCGAAATAAAAAAAAACCTCCTTCAATGACGTCGGAAGTGTTTTCAGGTCCGGCGGCGGGACACTTGTTGTTATATATTATTTTACCTATGCCTACGATTAGATCGTACCATTAACGTAACACAATGTAACGACTATAAATATATTTTTACACGTCACGTTTCCCGTCGCCAAACATCGATATCGATAACACATTTTATGACATAATATGATAGTAAAATTATAAAATAAAATAATTGCACCTAACACGTATTATGCCTCCATCATACGTATTTTACTGCCAATGCACACTGTACGTGTATATTATGTTATAATAATTATATATCGCCGCCTAAATTTCATAATAATAATAAAAATAATAACTATAATGATAAATAATATTATTTATAACGATAATGTTAAACCGTCTTAGACGGAATGCGAAACCGCCGCGAAATAACGCGCAATTTTCACATCTATAATGCATATTATTATAATAGTGTTAATAATAATATTATAACGATATAAACAACAATAATAATAGTCAGTTTCGTACGCAGTGGTAGGGTACTAGGTTTCTGCCCCCCCCTTTTCTCTTGAAATTTCTCCAATTTACAAAAAAAAATCTTATTTACCGCCATTTCGATCGATTACTGATCATTTTTAACAGATATAAAACGAATTGTTAATTATAATTTGTTATGATTAATTATTATATAAAAACTGTTTGAGCATAAAACAATGTAAATTATTTACTCGTGTAAAACCCTAGCCGAACTAAAATCCTGCGTACGCTACTGATAGTAATTACATGCTGTTCGCATAATGGAGTCCATCGAAATGATTGTAATAATTATTAAATACAATACACGTGTATAATATGTATTAATATTGCCATAATGTATAAGACATGCATATTATATATTAAAATATATCATAATATAGGGTGTATTAAAAATAACTTTTCGTAATGTAATAATAATAATAATAATATTAAAACGTAAAATCGTCGATTTGCACGCTGTACATATATATTATATAGTATACACAAGTTATGTTAGAGGTGTATTCGATACGTACTTCACATCTTGCTCTTCCTCCGGCCGGCACCCACCCGCCGTGAAAATATTATAATCGCAGGCGTGCGTTGTTTCGCGCCGCCCGACCCACACCCGTCCGCTCASACACATCCCCCACCCGACCCCACCGCCAAGATAATCGTCCACCCATCCGACCGCGGACATGGAGGCAACCGAGACATGTATAGATACATATTATTACAATACATAATCACGGCGTATACCTACGAACGGTCGAAGGGACATTCGGTGCGCGTTGCTCGGGAGACTTGCGATAATCGCTTGGAAATCGCTCGGAAATCGCCTAGTTTTACCGGCACGATACTTTTGAACTTTTCCACGGTTTAGGCCACACGGCTGAACRTCGTCGCGAGTTCCGAATGAATAATAAATGTATATAACGTGACCGGATTTGTATAAGACCACTGCACGTATATAATACAAGTAATACGACGAACGATATGGTATTTATTAAAGGTTCGAAAACATGTTTTTTGTTTTGATTATTTTTTCATAAATTCATCTACCGTATGGAATTCAGTTATCAAAGGATCGCCGATAATTTATTATCCGTACACTTACTGTAATATAGGTATGATATTATTATTACGTTTCAGCTGTATAGTTRTACGGCATTACAACGGTTARCGCGTCAWTTATGTCAATGAATATAAATGCAAAATAATATTCACAACTATACGAAACCGCATAATATAATTTATACATTGCTACAAACTTCTATATTATTTAACTCGTTTGTGTATATTGTATGTGATGTCAAGCAAAGCGCAGAAAAGTAAAAACAACCTAACCTTATATACGATTTAAACATAATGATATAAATATACCCATCCAGACCTTGGAGGACATTTTGTAAGCATCRCCGTCCGTATGATATTATACGCGTAGTATCTACACGTCCCACTGTCCCACACCCGTTTCCGTCGAGGTCTTTGTCGACTCACTATAACCTRCTCGCGATGATTACCGTTTTTCAGTGGAGTACGCTTTCTATTTCACAAAATTTCTAAATCCAACTCGAACGGTTTACCTATACTACGTCTCGATGTCGGCCCAAAAGCGTGTACTCGATTCGTTTGAAATCCCATGGACTCACCCATAGAGCCCTACCCATACACCCACCGAGTCAAGTAGAACGATATCGTTTTATATAATTATTTAATATTGTATTTTCAAGCGGTATACCAGGAAATCGATCGATAGATCGCGACTTGAGTTGGATGTAATGATTATTACATGTACAGACGAGACAGAGGGGAAAAGGCGTAAAAATGACTACATACGAAGTGCATGACGACGACGAAGGTCGGAATTTTTAATTTTTTTTTTTTTTGACAACGGAAAAGTTTTGGTTGTAGATACATCTGCAACAACTCCAGAGAAGTGATTTGGCGCAGATTTATCTGGCATATTACACACCACGTGTGAAAATTAACACCTAAAACGTTCATAGAAACGTATGAAACAGACGAACAGGAGAAATACAATATTATTGTTATCGAATCACGATAAAAATATTATACATTTTATCCCACCACGCCTCGGGGCTCTAGCATTGATCTATAGTTTTGCAATGATATGTTATTATCACAATGTATAATAATAGTACAAACGATCACGCGAGCGTGGAACAATATTGAATTTACTTACCCACACTGGGTTTGAATGGAAAACGTAACTCGTTTTCGAGATTTGGTAGGTGCAACATAGATAGATTTAACCTAAAATATTAATATTATATTTAATCATCGCAGTAATAATACATACCTACATGGCATGCGCTCTACGTAGCTTACACATACGACGATGCCTACTTACTAAATTTATGTGAATAATTACTTAAGATATTATCATAACATAGTTGGTATACGTTTGAGTTTCGAGAGAGTGTAGAGGATTAACCAATTCTCCGAAACTGTCGGATAAATAGATTTTTTTTTTTTAATTAATTCTAAAAACATAATAAAAATAAATTTATCTTTGACACGCAGACATGATACTGTATTATATAGACGTGCGTAATATTAAGAGAGATCAGCTTTCAAATGTTTGGAGAGCAAACAATTAGTACGATTATTAATTTAAACTAGAATTTAATTCAATTTACGCATTTTAAATTCAACACATATGTTCGTGTAGTAGTGCTGTATAGAGCTAAACTAATATTTGTATTCATGTTTAACGTACTAACATATATTTATATTATATTTTATAATACAAATAAAACAATAATAATAGCGAATAATTGTTTGTATTAAGTTTTATAACATCTATCGATGAATATTGTCTAATTTAATTTTAACGGTAATGCAGTGAATGCGACGCAAATAAAAAATATTAGACTTCAACTAAATTATGAACATTATACGTGTTAAATCCAATATGAAAATGTTTGATTTAGATTTAAGTGATTTAACCAAGGTAACTACACTCATTTCATATTTTGGTAAATCGATTACACAATGGTATTGAATAGGTATCGATTGCCAAACAATGATATTATATCAATATTATATTCATTTATATGTACGTTTATATTACGATATTTAAAATAAATATAGAGACACTTAGAGTATATTACTATAATATTAAATGACAATTATATAACTCGGTGTTTAATCAAAAATAATATACAAGTGTTTTTTAAACGTGTTTCATAAAAAATAATAATAATACTAATATATAAAATATATATGACAACATAACTGCGTGAAGTATGAATTTAGTTTACTATTATTGAATTATAGTTACATAATGTCATGTACTTTTTTGTTTATAGTAATTATGTATTAAAAAAGATGGATAAATTAATATTGAATTTATAATTAACTCCTGTTTAATATAATTTTATGAATTCATTCATTATTTCATAATAATATTATTTAGTAACACAAATATGTTCGACAAAGAAAAATTAGATCACAAAATATTATGGCGTGTTAGCCTTGTCATATACGTAGGAAAAATTGATTTTTTTTTTTTGTTCTCCGTTGAATGGTCTGCGGGCGAGCACTAATTTAGTAATGTTATTTAAATATTCATAATTAATTACACGTTACGTTGTACTTGAAATAGTCGATTCCAACAATGTTGTATTATAATCATAACAATAGCGAAATGAGCCGCAGTATGATTAATTATTATTAATAATTATTACGATATAATGTTGTACCGAAGCGAGTTTAACCGATTTAAACACAAACCATGTATAGGTATATATTGAAATGTTCAACAAAAAAACGAGCTATTTTTTATTTGTATTTTAATTCCACTGATTTGTTGCCCGTAGCTATGTTAATTTATGAATTTTGATCCCTTTGCGATGTTTTAATAATTTAAATAACGGATTCGTTAGAACCTTTCTATAAATATTATAATATAAACATTGTACCTAATATTTTGTTATCGTTTGTGTACACTTTGAAAGCAACGTAATATTAAATAATTACTCGGTGTATTTTTCACGCAGTTTTAACAATAATATCGCGTATCTAATGAATGTCGGCAATGTGTGCTCATTTTATAGTAATTTTGTTAGATTCGAATAAATAGTCAAAATACCTAACAAACAAAATCAAATATGCAATTATTAAATTATATTATAACGTAGTTATATGCACCATACCGAACAACCACGATAGTACGCCGAAGACTTGGTCAAACCGTCGTCGGCTGAACCTAGTGAACGTTGCATAACTTAGGTCACCATATTTAAGAACCTAATATTAAAAATACTCTTGCAATTGTATTTTTCGTTTTTTGTTTTTGCTTTTTTTTTTTGGTATGTTGAACGAGTGAGCAATTGTGAACACATTAAAACGAAATACACGTATTAATCATGAGAAAAAAAATATTGTTGTTTGCTTATTGATATCCTTATTTGTTTTATTGAACATTTTTATGATGTGATTGAAAGTTGCATACGTTCGAAACATACGGGCCGACTGCTGTGAAAGACGTCATTGTGATATTACAAAAATCATAAATATCATGATAGAACCGCACGGATACTATTTTTTATTTATATATATTATCAACCTTTTTTCGACAAATAAAAATATCGAAAACTATTCTCGGAAATGATTTGATCAAATTTTCACCATCTCACTACGTAATAATAACCCACAGTTTATTTTCCTCAAATAACTTACTGTTTCCGCGGCTGCCTATCACTTCCATGGTGTAACAATATTATCCCAAGACGGACATATTTCATATAAATATGGTACCTTTAATATACAAACACAATCTATAATTTTATTGTTATACGATCGTAAACATCAAAATATTACAATACAGTATTATGGTATATGATTTATAATATTATATTGTAGTATTATAGCGATAGAAATAATATTTCCATATTATGTCCACGAATTGCCTATCCAATGCGCCGCCTTATATTTACAATATTATCAATTAATACAGTCGTCTTGATCACCTCCACAACTCGAATTCTTTTCTTGCACTTTGAACCTTTTTTAAAGTTTTATTTGGATGTGTATTACTAGAAAAAAAAATTATTATAATTAATTTTTAATTTCCACGAGATCTGAGTTATCGAGACTCGACCGTATTATAAGTTTATGATATTATACACATATTATATAAGCACAAGAAATGCATCATCGGTGAACCGGACGAAATCTTTTTTCGATAAATGTAACATCACATTATAATTATTATGTGTTTAATGTTCTTAAATATCAAACGTCACCTACCGAGAGCGCATAATCGTTTAATGAAAGCTATTTAAATTCGTTCCTCGGGTCTCGAGGATATTAATTAATAATTAATTTAATTAATTTTTATTGCAACACGGGGTATATCCAAATCGGGATTACAAGGTAAAAAATACACAGAAAATATAATACATAAAACGTATACAAATTAATCGATATGTTTGGACTATGCGTTTTGGAATTCAGACAACGTATCCTCGAGAATTAAATGTTTCAGAGAACTTTCGCTCGTATTCTTCGTATTTACGCTATTGGTTCGGGTAAGTACGTGTAGGCAGTTAAAAAAAAAAGTTATCGCTTCGATACCATCATGTTCACAAGATACAAATAAAAATAGTAAGTTTATCTACAATACGATTAAAAAATGGACTCGCTTTAAGTTCTACAATTTTAGATAATATGGTAAAAATAGTAAGTTTATCTACGTAAAGACAAATAATTTTACTCGACACATTCATAAGAGTATCATTATCAATTGTATGTATATACTTATAAGTATATAAATAAGGGAGCCGGGAGGTGCCACAAAATAAACAAAATCCAATAACCAATAATAATATAATATAGTGATTTATTTGATATCAATCCAAATAATTGTTATAATCTAAGTCACCAATAATAGGTGTCGATAAGAGTTTACTAACGGATTATATATAATTATATACGATTATCAGTATAGGTATATAATAACATTATACAAACGAGTTTTATTGTCATTGCCAATAATGTATAGTTAAGCGAGGGAAATTTTACTTAAATATTATAATACAGTCGAGTCACCATAACTCAAAAGCCTTCATAATTCGATGCGTTTTTCGTCTTGTCTATTATTGATCTGTTTACAAGTTACATTTGAGGCATACAACTCGAAAAACGCATAAGTGGGATTAATTATTATCCTCTTTTGAGGTTCGTGAGTTATCGAAGCTCGACTGCATAATAGCTAAGCAAACAGTGTTAATTTGTACATTCACAATAAACATAACACTTAAAAAAAAAAATTTAAAAAAAAAATACAATCGCAACAGTTATAATAATATTATGCACTCAATATTAGATTTTGTTTTTATTTTAATATCGTTTTTATTATGATATCGTTTCGTAATACTGTTTAGGTATGCAGGTAGACACACGTTAATTTCCGACGTTTTGACTTTATGCAATGTACTTAATCTGTTATTTTAGACCTCCTGCCAAATAAACGTAATTATTGATGCGAAATATTTCTTTATATTATAATAATATAATTATAAATAGAGTTTTATATCACTTGTTTTAACATACTTATAATAACATTTAACTACGCGCTTGATTATTCTATTGATACGTTTATTCGTTTATAGTAAGCTATCGCTACTATAAAAATATAATTTGTATTTTAATTTATACATTTCAATGTGTATATATGCTTAGCCAGTCTAGCCAGTACATATGTAAAAATTAGATACATATTGATTTAGAATACCATTTATTAAACATTTCGATTCGATTTGTTTAATACGGAAAAAAACATAAATTGTGATATAAAATAAAACTTTTTAAAGTTTTGAATTTAATTAGACACGAAATAAGTCACTGTTTTCCCCCGTTGATACGTCTGTGTTTCAAATGATTGAATACAAATTTTACCCAATTCCAAGTTTGATTGTGTTTTTTCAAATATCATGATCGACCAGGTAGCTTGTCAGAATAACTCTAATTCACATTTTATAACTGTTTTATTTTTAGGTTTTTCTGTTTCATGTTTTTTTTTTTTATTTTTTTTATGTAGAACACATTGAAATGTCAAGTTCACTGATAGGTTATCATACTGCGTTTAGGAATTGTTTAAGTATATAGTAATATATATATATATATATATATATACATATATATGTTTTATTAGTTTATAACTGAAAGGTAGCTATTGCACTGAATGTTTAATTAAGTACTAATTAAGTGAATCTATAGAATATAATATTCACACATTAATACAAATAATATACCCCATACCCATTATACTACGTATTATTCTAAAGGATAAATAAATAATTAGTTTTCACACACTAGTTTCTCATACAATTTCAATTTCGAACTAAAACGTAGAATAAATAAGCACATTCAATTAATTATTTCAGAATTATATTGGTTCATTGTTAAGAAAAAAGAAAAGTATGAATAATATGAAAAAAATGAACTTCGAGATAAATATATTTTTTTAAATCTTTATTGTTTTCGAAATAATATTAAATATTTTTCCTTTTAAATAAAAGACACCTACTTCCCATGGGTACTTGTATTTAACATGTGTGCATTATAAATAACAGTATTATACATTATTTAATTAGGATTATAATACATACAATATTATGGTTTTTATTTACTTGGCTTACGTTTAAATTTTTTAGTTTTTGGTAGAGGTATACTAATTTTTTATTGTTCGTACTGAAAAATATAATTATATTCAATCGATCACCAATATAAAACGTATTGTCTTAAAATGGATGTCTAATAACTAATATACATAAAAAATTAAAAATATTGTATATGGCTATATATTCTAATTCTAAATCCAATATCATATTAATTAGTATATTAAGTAAAATTAAAATTAAACTAGTAAAATTATATTTGCCTAATAAAAATTGTTTGTAATTTAGATAATATATAAATATATACAAGTATACCTAAATTTTAATATTGTGTTAGTTACTGAAATATAACTTAATATCAGAAATTAAATTTTCATAATATAATATGCATAATATAAAACTCGTATGTAGTTTAATTGTTATACMAAAAAAAAAAAAAAAACATTGTTGCTAATCTTATCATACTTTTTTTCTATTTCATACCAGTTCAAAGGTGTTTGTATTTTATCTAATTAATAAGTTTAAAAAAAAACAATAATAATTTACACTGGAATATTGAATTCATTTCAGCGTTTCGGTTAAAATATGTTATGTATTAGAAAGGACACTATTATAATATTATTTATCTAATGATATATTATATATTAATTTCACTATGATATATCAAAATGTACAATATGAATAGTTAAAAAAAAAAAATAATAATGTTGTATAACAAATGACACGTAGTTAAATGCAACCTCTTTTAAATTTCCCTATCGGTAAATAAAATATATTTTATCTAACATTTAATTATTATCATCTRTTAACTACTAAGTCAGTAGTAATATCACGATTCATATGAAAACTTACGAATTATATATATTATGTATATAAAAATAATGTGTCAGTTAAAAAAATAACTATGCAAATAACACATTAATAATTAGACTATTTAAATTACAATCAAACATTATTCTCTTTTAAAATTATAGTTAAACAGTTATATAGTTGATACATATTTTGATCGGTCTCCACTATGGTAGAATTTAGTGGCACGATTTATTAATATCCATTGAGAGAACAATAATAGTAGACAGGATGATAGTATTATGATGCAATGATAAAATGAATTACACTTTTATTTYATAAAAAATACACAAAAAAAATATATAATAAAATAAATTAAAATATTATAATTACCCGTGATAAAATACAATTTTACGAGTATTAAAACTATTGGCAAAAATGTTTATAACGCTAATGGAGAAAAAAAAACATAAAACGCATACTATCTTCGAATAAAATAAAATGTTATCTAATGAAAAAACGACGACGGTCACTGAAAGGGACGAATTTTTGCGAACCGAATTCGGTTGATGATGACCACTATAAAACTGTGGGCAGCGCAGAAATAATACGGACTCGGTATAAAATATAATATTATTTCATGCGGGCGAGTAAAGTGATTTCGGTGCAATATGTAACATGTACGATTATTAACATAATAAACTCGGGAAGGGGSAGAGGGTTAATATTATCTAATTACAACTGTATAATGATTTAAGTTTTTTTTCTTACCAAATAAATATTTTTATATTGTTATGAAAAAGGTACTCGTATATAATATATATATAATATATGTATTTGTATTATATATAGCTTCTGGCTGAGGAATCTTTTTCTCGGTGGAGGTGTCATAGTATTATTATTATTACTATTATGTAATACAGGGCACGCCTGATTATTTGTACGATTCCTGTCTGAAACCCATTTGAATCTCTTCCAATGTTTTGTTCTTGGTTTCTGGAACTTTTTTGTACACGTACAACACGAATAGCGCGAGCAACACGACGAATATGAGGAACACGTTTGACTGCAACATTTCCTACATAGGGCAAACAAGAGATATTTATGTATGAATTAATAAATTTGTGAATTACATCATTAGTTATTGACAATTATTGTACATTTTAGATTCTGGGCGTATTGATTTGATTATAATGGTTTTATAAAGTTGGTGGGAGAGGTTTTATCTGACATTGCTTTTAGACGATGGAGAAAAATAAGATAACATTTTAAATGTTGAGGATGGATTCTGCTAGCGAAATGAATACAGTATTGATAATATTAATTTGGATCAAGGAGAGATCGTTAAAAATTCGGGTGGTCGCCCATCCAGGTACGCCTGCGATGGTTGATCGCAACACACATCAGTTTCTGTTGTTAACCTCGTGATCTTAACCTCACCACCATTGCGGATACCACAATGGTCTATATCAGACAGGCATAACTAGCCTAACCTATATATATAACATCGTAGGTATATACAAAATCTATGTGCAAGCAGTGCAATATAGTTGTTACCTGCAGCGGTAGGAAACCCAGGCCAACCACAAAATTGGCAGTCCAGTTGACTCCGACGGCTATGCTGGTGGCCAATGGTCGGGCAGACGAGTTGAACAGTTCGGACACTAAGAACCACGGGATGGATCCAGGACCGACGGCGAACGCGATGACGAAAGCCATGACGAGTACCACGGCCAAGCCGGACACAATGGAGCTGGCATTCTGTTTGGACAAAAAGAAACGATCGATAATTATTCATAAAATTGTATTATAATATGCGTTCGATGGCTGTTTTTTTTTTTGTTTGCTGAAAGCACTGCGAAGAGAGTTGTGAATTCGGAATTATGAGAAATAAATCAGCCCACACTCTTAATGATTAAAAATTTTGAATTGCGTTGTTCAATATTTTTGTTTTAACATTTTAATAAATATGACATGATTAATTACATGGTACACATCTATCATATTGTATGGCCATAATAATTGAACATGTCAATAAAATTGATTAATTTTTTCGATGTTGCTTTTTTAAATTTCATCATACAACTTAAGCATTTAGCGGTTGCACATTGATTTAATGTTCTGTTTAATAGCATAAATGGTCATGATATTATACTACTCTATGGGTTGTGATATTTTCGAAATTCAATTCTAAAAATAAATAATTAAACTAACCGACTAACCAATAGTTTCGTAGTTGAATATATTAATTATAAGGTCATATCCAACTATCCCTTAAACCTCATACTTTCTGCTAGTATAATACGTAAACAATCATGATTAATATATAAGAAAACATATTTTATGGCTGAAATCTAAATGTCGTAAACATGTACTTACCACAAACATCAGAGCGATGGTAAGCATAACGGTGACGACGAACATGGAAGAGAATCCAATCATCAACAGAGTCTTGCGGCCGGTGAGTTCGACCAAAAACAGAGAGATCAGCGTCATTAACACGTTGAGTGAACCCATACCGAGCGTGGCGTATTTGGCTCCATCATTGCTCATCCCAGCCATATTAAAGATTTTCGTGGAGAAGAACATGACCTGGAAATAATAAAAAGTTTTACTATTATTGTATATAGGGTGCAGCAGTAGAGTCTGAGTCACAGAATCATTTTAAATTGACTATAAAGCGTTCGAGTGTTGGATATAAATAACAGAACAAACGACCGGTCGATAGTCTTATATTAGAAACGATGGTAGTAACTTGATGTATTAGTGTACAGTTTCGACTGTATAATGATAGCTTGTTTAAAATTTAAGCCAAACACTTTAGAAAAATGTTTGTGAAAGACACGATGTAAAAAAAAGTTACACACGTAACATGTGTCTCGACATAATAATATAATATTAAGACAAAATATACAATTTCGCGGACCACTATACCAAATGAATAATAATTATATTTAATATAAAAAATACATATTATTGTGTATACCTATACTCGAACGTTTCATACCATACCAACTAGAAGTTATGGGTGTATATACTTACAGCGTTGATACCGGATAATTGTTGACACAACATGATCATCACAGAAATTCCAAGAGGAGTTTTCAACATCGGATTCGACAACATCTCACGAAGAGTTACTCGTGGGATGACCTTCATCGCTTCGTTTTCGGCTCTCATTTCATCCATTTCGTCGTGCACTTCGATTGTTCCTCTCAGCCACTGCAGTCCTATATGAAAATTATAATGTACTTAAGTCAACGTAATTGAAAAAAAAAAAAAAAAAAAAACGTTGATGAAAATTAGGTTTATGTATGCAAATATTGAAATTATTGTAATCGCAATGTAATAGTTCAAGACTATAGATCAAAAAACGATATTAGTCAGGTACCCCTGCTAGATCACTCACACAATATGTATGATAAATTTAAGCTTTAAAAGTTATTTAAATAATTTCAAAAAGCATACTTTACAACACGAAGATACGTCATAATAGGTGGGTAGATACTAAGTACATATGTATTATGGTTACCTCTCTCGGCTTCGATGTCTTTCTTCTTATTGATGAGTGTGTACTTTGGCGATTCCGGGCAGAAAGGCAACGTGACGAACATGAATATGGCTGGCACGATAATTAAGGCCAATAGTATGGGCCAAAGCTCAGCTGTACCCAGAATGTAGTCCAAACCCAATATTTGGGAAATCAAAATCGAAATGGTAACGACCAGTTGGTAAACGGTTCCGACCTGTATAAACCGTCCAAACAAAAATCTTTTAGTGCTCAGCCGTTGAATTATCAAAAATCAAAAATGATGTATATATATATATATATATATGATTAAGTATGTATATTTTTATACATATAAAAGTTAACGTATACGAAAAGTGCAGTTCATGAAAATAGTACACTTACGGATCCACGTAAATTCATGGGAGAGATCTCGGCCAGATACATTGGGGTCAATCCAGCGTTAAGTCCGGAGTTGATACCGATGATAAATCGTCCGATGATGATTAGTTCATACGACGAGTACATCTTTGAGACGCCTAAGTAGACAAAACAATATAAATTCAATAAAGTTAATATATGTTTATCGAAAAACATTTTTATGGTTTTTGAAATAATTGATTTTAATATATATTATGGGTAATGGGTATGTTCAGAAAACACAACAAACAATCTTTCCAAGTATATAATAAAATGTATAGTATAATGCTGTTGCTGCTGCAGGTTGATTTAAAATTTATTTCGTATATAATAATAAATGCAGAATAATAATTGCGTTATATTCAAAGCCATACAATTCGCACTTCGGTAGAATCAGTACCTATAAGTATATGATAATTACATGGAAATGTATCGATTTACATTTGATACGATTTGAATAAAAAAACACTTAAGAACGTCAAACGTTTCCACTTTCCTTGCAGATGCAATCATGTGCTGCACGTTAAAAGGCACCGCGCCTTAAATGGCGAATAACGTTGGCGAACGGTCAACATGGGTGGTGAAAGCATTCGCACGTAAATCGCGTGTAGGCAAAAAAAAAATAATAATGATAATAAATAAACACACACAMACGTGCCTGTGTTTTCTATAGGTAGCACACATGCACACACTACAGGTACATAATTTTATATGATACCGCCGTACATATTATTATTACATATAGATAGTTAATTGCAGGAATCTGATGATAATTCGTACGAGCATATTATATTGATGATGCTTGCGAATCGCAAGAATATATTATGCGCACGCCGAGTAAAAGTCATCGAGTGAATTACAATGGAAGATCTATATTGGTATTAGACTTATAGCCGCCAACAATGTTGGACTTCAGAACCCCGCTCAACCCCTCACCCATTCATCGCTGTAAAAAAAAAAAAAGAAAAAAGAAAAACAAGGAACGTGCGTATAGTTGGTCTGAAAAAATATTACGTAAGTAGAAAGCTGCAGTATCTATGCTGCTTATATACTAAAATTGACTGATTATTTTGTTCGAATGTATCACTAGATGAAATTATGAAAATATTACTGAAATATTTATTTATTTTTTAAATAGAGTATACGAGAGATAATTTTTTTCGTAGATTTTTTAGCTTTTTTTAAATAATAATAATTAGCTTTCAAATGCATAACCCAAATAAATAACAAACACACGTGTATCACATTTCTTACAGAGAAAATATTATTTAATTCTTTCGTCGTCTATTGCGTTGCCAGACGACTTGCAAATATTTATATTAAAAACGTAAAAATATCAAACGTTATAAATCATAAAAATAGTAATAATAATCAAAATATTACTTATATAGAACTCGCCCGAAAACGAATGCGTACAACGCGCTGTATGCTATTCGAATAAGTATAACAAAAAAAAATTGATAATAATATTTACGGGTCGTACACCCATATAAATTAATAATTCATGAGCGACGTTCGTTACTTTTTTTTTTTAAATTTCAACCTGGGATAATATTTTTTAACTAAAATTATCGTATAGATTATAATATTATGTACGTATATATATATCGACATATTATCGTGTAAACCAGAGGTTCCCAAAGATGATGAAATCAACTTGGAGTCAGCGTCCCATGGAATTATTTAAAATAGATCAGAACCATACACATTTTTCACAATTTTTACAAAAAATTGTATATGAAAGATATTAAATTTATTGTGAGTAGATATTTTGTGCAATATTGTGAATATTGTGACGTTGAATTTATTTTTATTTTGATACTGTGATCTCGCCAATGACGAATAAAAAAATAAAAATAAACATTATCATTGCTGTGTCATTATATAAAATACCCTACTGTGCCGCGAATCAGAAAATATTGAGAACGTCTGATATAGATGTATAAATATAAATCATAAACTATTCGAATAGATATCATGCTTACGATACGTGGGAATTCCATAATTTCTATACCATATACACATATATCATTACGATTAACAAGACATTATACCAAAATACGTAGGTACTGCAATGTTTTCATCAAAAAAAAAAAAAAGATAAATTATTCAGACAGAGTTATAATGAAAGGTTATGTTCTTATTTAAGAATATTATACAGTTTAAGGTTTTTTTTTGGTATTAATCGAGAGTGAAAAGAAATCGAATTTGTTTAATGTAATAAAAATGCATAATTTGATTTGAAAAAACATAATGGAAGTTTGCATGTACGACGTACGTATATGCATACATGGTATTTACAATGTAAACACATTTTTGTTAGGTATTCAAAATACAAAAATGTATACAGGATAATAACATGTGCATATTAAAATAATCCCTCTGTATATAATGTTACACTCTTCAGATGCGACAGCACGTATATTTCTTGTCACCATATTTGTTAAATGAAAAAATTATAAAATTCTATACGACCATAATGTCTTATGGTGTATGATAATAAAATAGCAAGTGACGTTTTGAATAATACAAATAAATATTTAAACGACCGGTTAATAAGTATAATCAATTTTTTAGATTCCATTACGTATACATTATGGAGTAAGAAAGAACCATAATTTATAGATGCGGGAGGAAATCCCTCAGCAAATGGACCCAATTAACATCAATTGGACGTTACGTATAAACATCGACTTGCTATAAATTAAATGTAACACATTATGTTGTACACCGCCATCGACTACATAATAATAATAATAATAATAACAACAACAACTATCGTAATTATAATAATATTATACGTGCATGTGCTCTTGACGACAGTTTCAGTTAATCGTTGGATATTTAAATAACGTTTCGCTACGAACGTTGAATTTTCGTTTTCAGTCAACCTTTGACAGATATTAGTGCCACGATGACTGCAGAATATTGAAATGCGAGTTCGACTAGATTCAAACTTGCGATTTGTCCCGTTTTTAGAATAATGTTATTATAGATTATCGATCATTGTAATGATATCATGAGCACTGAACAACCGTCTCTTTCTGTAAGCCCAAGCCCACCATATACCCTGTGACTTGACGAGATCGTTTTTCGTTATGTGTGCACATTATTCTTACTTATTATTTTTCAGAACATTTTTAGATTCATCATTCGTGCCGAAGAGGTGGTCAATATAACTATAATTATAATACAGCTGGGTGGTGTTAAATAATAAAGTGTTCATGTCACTTATTATACAAAGACCGTATTAACGTCGAGTTTAAAAGTTAATATTATAATATAATTTCTATAGAATATTCATTCTGACTTTTAATTAATTCGGTTCACTCGATATTTCGGTATGATATAAAAAATAATACATCCATTATTTGTACACACAGATAAATTTGTCGGTATAAAAACAACTTGACTCGGTAGCATGTGACAAGTATTCGTCAACGTACGAATTTAAGAATAATAATTTTGTCAATGAACCTGTTAACCTACATATAGTACCTAATACATTTTACATTTCTTATTAAACTCGATTTATTTAAGTGGGTCCCTATAGTATTTTAAAGTTAATATTTATTCAAATTAATAAAGTTAAAAATTACCCAATGCATATAGAAACGATTATTGGAGGTTTTGTGAAAATAAAATTATATAAAACATCATTATTATTAAGTGTTAAAAATTACAATCAGTTGGCTGGGATTTAATATACATGTAATTTAAAGCGTAGGTGATAAATTATATGAAATTTTATTGACGTTTTCATAGTGGATAAAACTCGTACAACTGCCTATAATACATGTAAATATGTAATAAATAACATTAATAACACCAGTCGACCCTGACTTTGGAAAGAACGGTACGGGACTTGGTACGTTGGATACGATGTAATAATATATTTTAAATATAAGAGAAATTAGAAATTATATTTGAATAAATTACCATTAGATTAAGACAGTGAACTAATGTCAATGTTTTATTCATTGGTTAAGAACAATGTAGCTTTACAGCGTGTTGTATATACGCTGTATAGGCCATCATCATCAGTGTATTGTGTTAATATATTTAATTATCTATCGACAACAACCGTCAAATGCATAAACCTATGTGTATTGTTTATGCATATATCAGTTAATTAGGTACAGGTTATAAATTGATATCTTTGACGGAAAGGAGTTTTTGTCGAAAAGTATAAAACCGTCTGCACTAATAATAATATTGCAACTATCGCAGGTACTGTTATTTGTTCGTTTGTGTAAAATGCATCGATCGATTTGCGCTTACCTTGGAGTGCAGCCGACAGGATGACCAGTGCGTTGGACACCAGCAAACCACCCTTGCGACCAAACTTCTCGGCCACGAAGCCGGTACTCAAACCGCCGACCATACCGCCGACACAGAATATCGACACCGCAACGGCCCATATCAATGTCACTTGCGTTTGATCCGTTGGCTTGCCGTCGTTTCTGTTGGATATCACACCGCTAATCCATTTTTCGATCAGCTGTAACGATAATATATTATGGATAGAATCACACACTGCACAGTATAAAATATTATATATTTCCATAATTGTTAATGCTTTACACGTCATGTTTTAGTGTGCTGCACATTTTAGCACGGCGAAGAATGACGACGAATCATGAAAAATAGGTGAGGTTTATAATTCAGTTTGTAAAAAGGTAGAAGATGTTTGAGAGACACCAGGTTTTCCTTCATCAGTGAATAAAAAGTAAGCAAACATTATTTCAACTCTGGAGATCATTTCACCCCCTCCCCCATTATGCGCTAATGGTTTGACCTGCGTCGTTTGGGACCATCACTGATTGGTCGTATCAGCGTGATATTATATTATTATGGTAACACACTTTTAAACACAGCAGAATATCCAGTAGAGTCACGTTAATTAATTGAGAGGTTTCGGAATGATTGTTGGATAATCTGGGCATGGACTATAGTTGCGCAAAAATCAAAATTTGTATTTTAGGTCAGTATATCAGTCGCGCTGCTTATACATTTTTTTTACTTCTTTTTTTTTTTTTTTTATTACTTTAAAGCCTCAACAACTAAGGTTTATACATTTTTATAAAAGTATATACTAGATGTAGTGTAGCATAATATTATGATAGTAGTTCATTAAATTTAAATTATATTCGTATGCATTTTTTTTTAAGTATTATTAACGTTCATTATGTAATTTATTTTACTAACTGAAAAAATATATTTAATTTATTAATACACATTTTTTATAAAAGTATATACTAGGTGTAATAATGTACTATAATTTTATGAAAGTAATTTATTAAATTTTAGTTATATGTGTATGTGTATTATTAGGTATGGATGTATAATTTATAAATATTATTAATATTGACGTTTATTAGATATGTTTTATTTTATTGAGCGCAGTTGGTTTATTGAACCATAAAAGACCGAGCGCAATTGGTATATCGAACTAAAAAATAGCGAACACAATTAGTATAATATCAAAAGGTAATTTTAAGCGAGATAGGTAAGCTCTCCATAAGCTATATATATACTCCGGTTCTCGATACTAACGGAAAAAAAATATATATATATACACCGTGATAGAGCATCGATTCCATAAACGAGGAGTTTCCACAGGTAGAACGAATTTTGTTGGAAAAAAAACAAACTTAGTGACCTGATGATTGATGTTGGTATATTAATATTATATTATTAATAAAGCTAAACAGTAGTGGCGCTTATTATTTTGCGTTCGTAAAACATTACAATATATTATATTCAGAGTCTACTATTTAAAAATGAAAAAAAAACCGTTCGACAAGCGTCCTACTACACAAACGCACATTATTAATACATAATTCGACAAACGTGTTAAGTGTGCGAATTCTAAATTTGACGAAAAGTCTGCTGTGGACCAGGCTTAATAATAATAATGACAATTACGTACGGCTGGACGAGGGCAGCTAATTAAAAAAAAATCACTCGAATAGTAATCTGTAAAGTATTATAATTATTATTGTGCTTGCACAATGCACAGTCAGCATATCATATCAAATTACCAAGTTTTCTAGTTCTTATTTACCGTGCGTGGAAATAACGTAATGCGCGTTGCGTGCGCACTATACCAACCCACTACCTACTAATACGCACTCAGAGTGCATTAGAATCCTGAGAGAAAAAAATAATATATTTTGTAATTCTACACAGACACGGGAATGCGTTCCAAAGACGGGGTTTCGAAAAAAAAAAAATACATTTTAATATGGTCTCCGCTGCGTTGGAAATTGAAACGAGATTTATATCGGGTAGGAAACATGTTGTCCGACGGCAATGCCTCTGTTGCAGTCGTCTGACGCCGGCACTAGATCATAGGAGACGCATACAGAAACGATTCCCTGGGATTTGTATTTTAATTTTATTTTCCACAATCTAAGCATAATAATATTATATTATCATATAAGTAGGTAGGTATCCCAAACGCGTTTTATATAGCCGTCCGCGCACAGATATTCCGACGACATGCATTCCTCCGTCCGGTCCATGTGTGTGTGGGCCGAAAAGTTTGTTTGGGGATTTATTTTGAATATATTTGGTGCCGAAGAAACAACTCGATTAATTTATCATGGAAAGTAGAAATGAAAAAATATATACATGTCTCTCAAAATCGATAATATCGAAGGTGAACCTCGAGCGCGCTCACGTCGAGCGGTTAGACCGACACGTGTGTCCGTTATCGTTCGTACCAGCCACCACTATAGAACTAAAATAATATCGTATGACTACCTACGTTCCATATGAGTGGGTTAATTTTGATACTTAATACTCTGGTGTTTTTGAAGTTTTTGAAAAATACATAATTTTGTGTCGTTCTTTTTTCCCACGGCCTGCGCGTCATATTGAAATGTTAACGAATATTGATCTTAATTTTTAATTATGACGAAGATCTGTATATATTATTGTTTGGGTGATTGTAGTACAATAAGGGATTTTCGATCATCTGCACAAGTTTGGACAACAACAATAATTGTCTCACAATTAATGATAATATATAATATTGTAATAAGCAATTAAAATTTAAGTAGTGCGAGACGTAATTCKCGGGAAATCCCTCGCAGCTCCGTTTATCTAACTTTAAATGTCTATACAGATAATAAGATTGTGTAGGTTCAACGTTCGGCGTCTATTTGCGTACATCGTAATGTGCCGTTCAGATATTATACGTTTTCTACGTATCAGTGTATCACATAGTACGTCGCTGTAATATGATAGGACCAACATATTATTATGTGATGTAATAATATTATCTAAGATACAACCGAATTCGGGTACAAATAAAAAAAATCTAACGAAAATATGTACCGATAAAAAACCGAAGTGCATTACTGCTTTGAAAAAAAAAACCAACCCCTTTCGTCGTGTGTACATCGCTCGGCGCAACAATATTATATATTTTTTTTTTTATAGTACTTACTGCAGTTATGTTAGTATCGAAAGAATGCAGGTAAGATGAGACGTGTCTCGGGTCGGGAATCCGAATCTTATGACGATGTGCCGTGCCTAGGTATTTTTTTTATTAATATTATTAATATTTCGATCTCTACCGTACCGAACGGATTACATTTATATATATGTATAAAAAAAAAACATCTGTAGCGGTCGCTTGCAATCGTCAGGCCATAATAATAATAATATAATATATTACTTGTAATAAAATTTCATTCGTGTGTATGTGTAAGTGTGTGTGTGTGTGTAAGTATGGGCGAGGTGCTTATCGCTAGCGTGGTACAACAAGCTGGTATCGTACTTATGTTGGAATATTTAAGGTGCATAACCGATGGCGGGAACCATCAGCCGTGCGTTTACCTACCCATCAAACCGGAATCGGGCAACGAAAAATCTACACTAAAAACCAATTGTGCCTGTGTAGTGCAACCCCTCGGAATATAAACTCACACGCAGGTAATGGGTAAGTACTATATATATATGAGCAGACGACTACATGATTTACTATATAATAATAATAATATTTTAATCGTGCGACCGTACGGGTATAAAAAAAACTATAAGACGATACGAATAGGATCCGAGACATCCGAACCCTATTAAATCTTTTTTTTTTGTAAAAAGAAGAATGTTCACCGTCGGCTGTTTGGAATTTCTATTCCTGCCTCCACTCGCATACTCCGCCGGGGTGGAATACAAAAATTATAACATCATCGAGGAGCGTTCTTGCATGCGGCCTCCAATAATGTTATTACACTTATTTGAATATACAACCTGCAGTTGATGATGCTTTGAGTACGGAAAAATATGTGTATTCGATTGGCGTCCTGTGCCGAAATGTTGCTATAAGATGGAGTCTCGGCATTGTGGACCCTGAAGGGGTCGCGAAATGTGCGATTTATTTTTGGGGATTCCGACCTACTCACACTTGCCCAGGGGAGGGTTATTTGGTTATACCACTTGTTGCATATGACAGTTTTTAAGTTCGCCACTCGGCAAGTAGGTAACGTCAGTGAGGATTAGGTCTTCGCGTACAAACGAGGTTTAGCCGTCTAAGTACATAAATGGGTTTGTACGTAATATCATAACAAGTTGTTGAGTACTTACCGCTTGTGGAGCGTTCACCACGCCAGTGTTGTACCCATGTTGGAATGCCGAACCGAAAGCCGAAGCTATGATGGCAAACAACAGTCTTCCATTGAGGCTCTGTAACAAAGAAGAAAAATTGGTTGGTTGTTGTTGTACAGGTTGTGGTGGGATTTCGGCGGTGATTTCCGATCGTTCGCCGGAAATGGAATAGCAACCCGCGCGATCTGTCGCTGCCGTTCCGCTGTCACACGAGGCGGGCGAAAAGGCGCGAATCGTGACGCAACAGCAAAGGCCCGCGGCCGCCGTGTCCCGGAGTTTGCGCATTTTTTTTTATTTTCGTTCGACAAAATATTAACAACAACAATAATAATAATACAATCGATATTTTATTATTATTATAATTATAATTTTTTTTTTGTGTGTGTGCTTTATGTGTGCAACTGAATTTTCAACCGATGATCACGCGCGACATTAATGTTACCATATCGTTCACGAATTTCACGTAAAATGCCGTCATGGACTGGTTATAATACGAATGTAATTATAATGATATCGTATTCTATCGTCGATAGCCCGACAAGCATTAAAGTCCAAAATCTACGACTGACGGTTAACGGTGGCGGTGGTGTGCTTCGTTTATTACAACATTATATTTTGCTATTAATGTTTAAGAACATATAGGTAATACAATAAGTCAATAACTATTGGTTCTTATCGCAAATATTATTATTATTATTATTACGACCGTATACAATCGGAATCTGTCCGACTGGTCGGGCAAACCTCGAGAAGACTCGTGACAGGTAATACTAATAGTATATAATAATACATTAATGTGTTTATAAAATTGTCATCGGATACCTATCAGATTTCGTCAATTAATCGGTTACGATACAAATTGGAATACAGTATAATAAAATTGAAATAAATTTTTTTAGGTGTTCAATCGGCGGTAAATATTATCAACGGTCAAGCATTTAAATGTTTTTATTATTATTTATTTTTGGTCAATATCGATGGACTGAATAATGTTTATACTTGTACGTTCATATTGTTCTCTCGTAGTTTATTAAACGAGTGGTTTTAAATTAAAAAGATAAATATAGTAAGTATTATTTTCGTTCGCCAAAAAAATGATTACTCAACTGTTCAGTATATAAAAGCAGRAGTTCTTCAGGGTAGTGTGACCTTTCGCCTTCACTCTATAACATATTTACTGCTGATATACCAATATCAAATCAAACTCTACTTGCCTCATTTGCCGACGACACAGCAATACTTTCGTCAAACAAGTTTCCTGATATCGTGTCTCAAAATTTACAACTACAGTTGAATAAAATAGAATCTTGGTCCAAAGACTGGAGAATTAAAATTAATGATGACAAATCCGCACAGGTGAATTTTTCACTAAACAAATGGGAATGTCCCCCACTAAGGTTTAATAACAAACCAATTCCGCTTCACCAGTCAACTAAATACCTTGGTATAACTTTAGATAAAAGACTAACCTGGTCAAACCACACCAAACAAAAACGAAAAGAATTAAACTCCCGCCTCCACCTACTTAAACCTCTACTAAAATCAAACATGAGTCTCAAAAACAAACTACTCTTATACATAGTAATCATCAGACCAGTATGGTCTTATGGCATTCAAATTTGGCGCCCAGCTAAACCCGCAAACATTCGTCCTATACAAGCCTTCCAGTCAAACATTCTTAGACTTATCACCGGTGCCCCTTGGTACTTAACAAATGCAGCCCTCCACAACGACTTAAAAATACCAACAGTAAATGAGCTTGCAAAAAGTCACTATAATAATTTCCACTCAAAATTAAAAATCACTCAAACCACGCCATTAAAAATATGTCCTCTCTTACATTACCAACTCGCCGTCGATTAAAAAGAAACTGGGCTAGATATCTCCTTAATTAGGGGGGAAAAAAAATTAAAAAAAAAATTTTCTGAGGTTCTGTTAATGAACTGTCTCCTCTTCACGTTATTCATGTTTTGTATACCTACCCTCTTTGTTATCCCTATTTCTTATTGTTTTTTTATTGTAAAACAGATTGAATATTTAATAAAAGAATTTAAAAAAAGTATTATTTACTGTATTACTATTATGTTATGTATATTATATATTTACATATTAAATTATTTATGTTCTGATTATTCTGATACTTCTCATGACTTTCTCTTTTACTTATTTAGTATTAAAAACCATTTATACCTATCGACAATCGCAATACTTACGTTTGTAATGTATATGATGCATTAATTACTTGTATTCAAATTTCAGAGTAAAATAAGTAGAAATTTACAAAGAGAAAATATGCCTATCATTTTATTTTAAAAAAACTGGACTGTGATTCGTGTTGTAATGACGTCGATTAATTTAATTTACCGAAACATAAATATTTTCATCTTAAACGAGTTGCGACATCTTTAAAGTTATATTATATTCAGTCCTGTTCAGCTGCATAATATACTAGTGATATTAAACCCTGTTTTGACTGTAAATAAGTTGCAGTTCGTATATAAGATATAACTTAAATCGAGTTTAAATTTAGTCAAATGTGTATATTCGATTAAGGAATATAAAATATATAATTAATAATTATAGTCCCTATAATGTTATTATAATACATTATTATGAATTTATGAACAACAGCGTATATTTTTTAATCTACCTACTTAAAAAAAAAGAAAAAACATCTATATGAGTAATTATAGTAACAGAAATCACTTCAATAAAATAAAATTATACGAAAAAATGTTCATACTTCAAAAAATCGAGAATCAATTAATATTTAATACGGTAAATTTCAAATACAAATTAATTTATAACAATTAATAATTTTAATGTAAGTACCTACTTACATACATTTTGCTGAAATCTTAGTTTTATCTAAAACAATGTAAACGGATACATATCTATTATATATAAATTAATACATAAATATAGACGAACATATTAAAAATAAACATATTAGCATAATTATAATAGTTGCTAAATTATTACATCATCTGAATTCTGTTGTTCTATGATCAAATTTGAAAATTATTGATTTGTATTATTTCATATTATGATAATCAACAAGAGTAAAAAATTAATTTGTTATTTACTCATGTGATCATCAGAATAAAAAAAAAAAATTTGGTTTATCAAAAATGCGAATATTGTAATTTTATTATCATCTATGATTTATCACAATTGCCAATTATTTTGAGAGTACGCACGTCGCACATTATCGTTTAATTTTATGATTTTCGTAACATTATTAGGTAGCCATTTGAAAAATTGTTGTGAATTATCATAAATTCATAAATCATTGAAATATGTTATATAGGTTATAATTTAAGTATGTGGTAATAAATTATTAGGTATGATAGTGATGGAACCAAAATCATTCGTATATGTAAATTTACTACAATATTTTAAAAATTTTGTGGGATATTCGTTTGTTTAAAAATATAGACAACTATTAGAATAACCTAAAAAAATTTCAAAAAAAAATTTTCCATACTACCTACTATCTCATAATTGCATTTACACCAGAGTGTCAAACTACATTAAGTCAAATAATTTATATGGATTGGTAGAATGTAAATAAAAACCGGTTACAAACACACACACAGAGACAGGTTTGTTGGATGAAATTTACTTGGCCTTATGTCGGCCCCTATGGCGCATCGTGAGTGCATTTTTATAGTTCCATCTTGTTTTGAACCCAGTCGTTGTATTATTTTACTATCCCGTGTAGAATAATATAAATGACGAGAATCACCATGCAGTAAACTAATGTAAATTATTCCCCCCAAAAAAATATACAAAATGTCATACTCAAACCAGAAAACTAATAATATTATACGCCAACAGCAGGGCCAATCGAAATATTTCAAAAACAAAATCGTCTAATTAAACAGATTTTTTAATTTAATATGCGCTGCTTAAATTCATCTATAATTATTAAAATGGTTGATAAATGAAGCTTACGTACAGAGTTTCAATGTTACATTGGGCTCAATCAACTATTATAATTAGTTGATTTTAAAAGTTTAGAGACTGTTTAGTAGGTATCAAAAGATAAGTAATGAACATAATGAACTAATAACACACAACTATTATCATTTCATTATATTCAAATGCTGATAAACTTTGGTATTTATCCCATTGGGTTTTTAAACTCTTTTTTTAAATGTTAATTACCTATCTATTTATCATTTTGGACAATTAGACAATTATTACGTAATAAATAATAGTTATTAAATTAGCCGATTAATAATATTAATTCACGTATAATAAACATATTTTAATTATTCAATAAGTTTATTATTGTTAAAACAAATAAGATTTTTTTCCCGAAAATTTTAGATCAATATCTACGTGAAGAAATCTACGATTTGGTATAATTTTTATATTAGATAATGAATATTCAATATATATTGTAATTTTAAGATAAGACTTCATTATATTATAAATTAGTATACCTACTTACATTTTTGCAAGAGGAAAATTAAATTTTTTTGTTATAAAATTTGCCGGAAATCGGCAAATAAACAAAACAACAAATCTATAAACATTTTTTTGTTATTTAATCAACGCGTGTAAAAACAGCTCCAACCATGGGCTATACCTAATATAAATTATTATAATACGTTTTTACAACTATATAAAAATTAGGTACAAATTAAATTTAAGAATTCACGCCAATACTAGAATATTAAATTAATTAAATTAACATAGGAATACAAATAATATTTTATAACTGTATTAAGGAACAATCGAAAGGTCAATAGCAAGATGCTCTTAACAATAATTATTTATTATATAAGCGAGTAATGCAATATAATAATATGAATTACTTCATACACAATCTCCTCCGACAATGCGTATTAGAACAGTCCTATATTAATATAATGATAATTGTAAATAAAATATTTAGCAGAATAAGTGGTTTTAATTAATATAGTATCTAATACCGATTTTAATGTCTGTAAAAATTAATTATATTTTGTCTAATAACCGCGTAATAAATAATTTCGCGTCATAGTGTCTATTCGTCTAACATTCTATTAGGTTTAGAGATTTTTTTTTTTTTGAAAAATAACGGATAG